AAATAAGTTGCAATAGGTTGAAGATGTAAAACTCCATGTGTAACTGATATGTACCCTGCACGCCAGCTTAACTGCAAGGTATTGTTTTCACTGCAGTGGGTGTGTGTGTGTGTGTGTTTGTGTGTGTGTGTGTGCAAAATAACATGGATAGATTTTTCACCAAACTTTGGAATATTATTTGTAAGTGTATCTCCTGATGATTTACTTTTGTAGCTGATCGGTCAAGAGCTAAGGTAAAACACATTTTCAAGGATATGTGTAGAAATAACAGAGACGATCTAAAGCTTATATTTAGCAGAAAATCATTCCCCATCATCTAATGTCATATGACATCATGAAGAGGTTACAGAAAGGTCTTTTTTGCCCCTCCAATGCCATTTATTTCAGATGTTTTTAAAAAAAAAAGTGAAACATCTGAAAATGGCCCATGCTTACATAAAGGCAAGTTTTATCACACATGAAAATTCACATATGCCAATAGGTCAGTTATCCCATATAAAGTTTTTGTATTCATGTGATTTATTAAAAATCACATGTACTGTTATTATGTCTCCTATCAAATAATGCAGCGCATCAGATAAAACAGAAATGTGTATCAAGTGCATTCAAATTCATGTTTAGTTTGTTATGGTAATGTTATTATACATTCAATATAATGAGATAATGTTACCACCAGATTCAAAAATACACTTCCATTTATTTTGCTTTCTGTACACTTGCTTTTCTGAACACTTTCACTCGTCATATTAGATTTCTTCCACATTAAGTCCTCTTCCCTTTTCATGATTCCAAACACACAACACACTCGGTGCTTCACTGTCTGTGGCTGATTGAATTCATCAATGGTTATGAACAATAAACCTTTTTTATGTGTTATAGTATATCTCTCTTTCTTGCACCACCCCCTTTACTTGTATTTCCATTACCACCGTTCCTTTACCTTCCTCCATCCCCCCACTCTCTCCATCATCCTCCTTCCTTCCTTAGTTACATATTGATCAGGTCTCTCAAAGTGCATGTGTGTTTGTGTGTGTGTGGATGCACACAAGCCTGGTCCGGCTGTGGTCAATGAGGTCAACATGGTGGCCAGACAGACATCCCCACCCCCATCCGTTTTTTGTTTTTCTCCCCCTACCTCCTCCATCACCTTCTGCTTGCTCCTCTTAGGGTTACCGAGTGCAGTCGACGTAAAGAAACGATAAAGTCAGCATCCTTCATCAGCTCATGATAGCAACTGACAAAAAATGAATGCACTGACTAGTGATGTATACGAGAGCGTCACATCATGACTTTAATGTGCTCATGCGTCCAGAAGGGAAGAATGACAGGTTGAGCACGGAGCGGTTTTGTTGTAATTAACAAATAAACCTTAGAAATGTCCCCAAACCATCCGCAGGAAGGATATGAAAACCAACAAACAAGAGGAATAGGTGCAATAGTACTTTCAGTTTACAAATGTGAAAATGTTTCACAGGTTTTCTTTGTCAGGTGACGTGCCTCGCCTCACCAGTCACGTCTTTGCATTTGAAGGAGAAAGAAAACCAGCATGTTTTTCAAACACCACTTGACAGTGACCGTCCCTGCTGACCCCTGTAGCCAACAGACTCCCTGTCTGGGTGGAGGAGGGGGCAGGATGGAGAGAATAGTGCAGGAGTCAATAAAGGCCATAAGTCAAAGATGGAGGGAGATGCAGGCAGAGGAGGCCTGAGAGGATTCTTCACAAGAGGGAGGCAAGAGAGACACAGCAGCAACGTGTTATGGATGAAGAATACAAATTATAAACGTATGAATTGTTGGATGACCACTCAAAACACTTGACAGTACAGTTTTGCCATTCACTCATTCACACACATATTCATTAGGTATATTTTAATTGGCGCGTTCTCTATTACACATCATTTACACACTGGAAATTTGGAGTTCAGTCTTTGGCCCAAGGTCACTGGGATCGAACTGTCTCTGGTTGGTAGAAGACCTGCTCTAACTCCTGAGCCACAGACAGTATTTTTGTATTTCTGTATTATTTATTTATTTCTACATTTATTTATCAATTTATTTCTACACGTATAAATTCACTTTATATGAATTAATTCAGTTATTCATACATTTCAACTTTAACCACTTCTGAATTTCTACATGTATCTATGTAATTATTTATTTCTGTGTCCATTTGTTAATTAGTGGGCGGTCTCACTTAGTCTGAAGCCCGATGGGTTACAGCAGCGTGATCATCAGATCAACTACTTCTGTCTTGAGTTGACCTGCACGCGGGAGCTTCTCATTTTAACTTTAAAAATTGTATTTATTTGATGTATTTATTTAGTTTCTCTTTTGTAGATTTGACTTAATCAAATGTGAAACTTATGTAGCGAACAGATTAAGTCAGAATATAAACTCAAATCTAGGACGTTGAAGACATTGTTCCACTTGTCAGTGCAGGCAGGTTGTGTGAGGAGCCCGGCTCTGGATTCAACTGCAGCTGGACTGAAGTGACAGATGTGACCACCTGCTCACTGTTGGCAGCACTGTTCACATGATAAAGATCTAATACAGAGGACTGTGGAAACCCCATGCAGCTTCATGAGATCTGGAACCTCCACAGTCAGGAGACGTCAACTGGACGGTAATGAGACAATTTCAGCAGCAGTTTCCTTCTGAAAAATGTGGAAATACGGCTGGGTTCATTTTCCCTCCTTTTACACATTAAGATGTATAAAAATGTCTTTATGTTCTAAGAAGTAAATGTATTCAAAAAGGTATTGATTTGTTTTTGATACTGAGCCTCACAAGGTTGCTCGCTAGCAGTTTTATTGAATCTAAGAACAGCATCAAATCTAAATCCCTGAGAACAACTTTTAAAATGTAATTAGTATCGACTCGTCATCCATTGAATGTAAATAATAGCAAAACTTACATTTAACAAAGTGCTTTTTCCAAGCAGCCTGAATGCTGTTGAAGGTTTGACATGAGCAACAGCTTTTATGAAAAAAACTGGGAAATAATTGATCTTCATTTTAAACTGGAGGTTATTTATGAGAGATTCATAAATGTCATCATAGAAGGTAATGTATCAACATTTATACTGAACAGAGGCCAAACTGTGTTGTGTTCTCTTAATGCTGAACAGTTTTTGAAAATTTGACTTAAAATAGATGCTTGTGTTCTTTTTAATCTACTTGTTAAATGGCTGGTTTTACCAAGATGGGGGAATATGTCAGGCCTAACTAATCGAACTGAACAAGGACTCAATAGGTGCAGTCAACTTAATAACTCCAAAAATAATTAACTGACAGTATCTGAGCTCAGAGAAAAGTTTCGCTGGCTGAACTTTGTTAACTGGGTGCACGTTGTGCTAACTACATTATATTTGGACAGCAACTGTACAGTAAATGTTACATCAACTAAAAAAAAAGAAATTAATAAACAAAAGTTGTGCCACTTAATTTAGCAGTGTGAAAGTCTGAAGTAGCCAATGCAGGAAAACCTAGACATGTAGATTTGCACTCAGTAGAGAGCATACCTCTACCAATAGTCCCTTTAAATTTAATTGAGCTGCACCAAATTACACACGCTCAGATATCATTCCACTAAATATGCCAGAGTTTCATCAAGGAGAAATTCATGGATCTTGAATTACTCCCAGGGGAAACTATGAACATGTTGAAAAATGCCATGTTAGCAGTGTTAAAGAAAAATGTTTGGCTCTGCTCTCTGGTCCAAATCCCAAATGTTCTGGGTTCTTCCCTGACCCATACCGCATCCTACCACCAAGTTTGTGTACTCAATGTACTTAGTAGAAAACTTCTTTCACTAGTTCCTACTAACAGAGAATTATTGATCTTCCCATCTTACTCTTGGCAAAGAAAGCAAATATTCCCAAACTATTCCTTTAGAGTGCAGCAGAAAAATTAATTTGAAATTGCATGTGCAAATGTGGGCTTCAGTAAAAATAAAAATCAATATCCATAATAAATTGTTCTATACATTCAGGATTCTAACAGAGGGACGTACATTATAGAAATGAATAGTTTAAACTTTTAAATGGAATCAACATTTTTTCTTGTGTAGATCCAGTTGTGTTGGATTTCTCAACAGCTCTGTACAAAGTGTGTTGCCTGAACATTACACACGTTCATCCTCACATAGTTTATCATTATGTTTTGAAGTCAAGGTGAGGAAGAACCTTGGCTGAAATAAAACTAACGAGGCACATAGAGCTGAAAAATACAGAGACTTCACTTTCATTCAAAATAATTACAAACGTTTTGTTTCCTCATAATAAACTGTATAACCAGTAACCTTTACCAGAATATTCCATCATGAACATGAGCTTCATTCACTGATGCACTTTATCTTCCTTGGCCAAGAGAAAAATGGCATGATGATAAAGAACTCTTGCCACATTATTTTCTTTTTCCGTTTTGTCATTGAAAGAAAATTCTTTGGGGCCTGACATGGGTTCTCATTGCTGTACTATTATGGGGGAAACAGTGATGTGAATATCAGCAATATCAGGTTATGGGTTTATCAGGTTTATGGAACAAGGACGCACAAATCCTTAACTGGAAAACAGTTGTCTACTGCTCGGAATCAGAGAAGGAGAGAGAGAGAGAGAGAG